TGATTAGTATAAAGTTTGTGGGGGGAGTACAATGCCTGTATATGCCTGTCTCTTATACACATCTAGATGTGTATAAGAGACAGGCGCCTAACCGTCGGAGAATTGGAGATCAGAGTCAGAGCGCAGGTTGGCACCTTCAAGCTGGCTTAGGTCCCAAAAGCCGATCCAGCCCGAAACCCTCCCTCTCAAGGAGCTTTCTACAGCACCCTTCTCCAAGTTCTCTCTGATGCAATACGTACAATCTTGGGCGCACAATCTGATATCACCATCGTTATATCGTTCTCCGCCACCCAGCAACCTGTCGCCGCTGGATGTAACAAGCCAGCCAGCTGGTCCAATAGCCAGCGCTTGGGCCAAAACCACGGAATGGTGCCCGTCTCGTGGACCTGCCAGAAACATCCCCAATGTCCGGCACGGCAATCAGCCGGGGTCTCCAACTTTTTATTTTAAATTTACAGTCGTCTGGCCTGCTCTCGCTCTATTGCGACCTTCCGAAATTATTATGTTAATAAAATCGTCGATTGTCTGGACCCGCCTTTTTACTTGTGCCTGCTGCTGCTCAAACCCCGTCCAACTCAGATCCAGACCTAGGGCAGGAGAACTCTCCTTGGGATGAGGCATATCACATCCGTGCTACTCTAGTAACTGCCTGTGCTGCACTCTACGTGCGGTGCGCTGCCAGGCAAGAGATTATCAATATATCGTGAGAAAGAATGTCTGTCAGCTACGTCCTTTTGGGTACCGGCGCTGTATCCTGTTGCATCCATCCCACCTGCAGCTCACGCACGTATTCCGCCCACTCATCACCGTGCAGCACCACACCACATTTCCCACAACGGCTCTCTCCAGGACCGATAGGATGATATGGATGTATCTGCGCGGCGACGTCTATATATGGAACCGATTTGGTCTCTGCGAAAGTACGCAGTACTCCGTAGGTGTCGGTACTTCGGCGGCGTTTACGTGTAATCTGTTTCCCCCGTGCATTTCCATTCGCTGTTCAGTTCTCATTAGTACGAAGAATCGAAGATCTTCCTATCTCTCATGTACTGTACAAGATACCCCAACCCCATCCAATTCGCAAAGTTCCAAAGCTTCTGTACATCAAGGCCACAGCTGCTCAGCCACCCTTCTCTCCATTAGCCCTCCGAGTGGATGGTGGGGTAAACTCCCTACCTCCCCGATAACCGGTCTGCTCCTACCCACAGTATGCCACAACTTGTGCCACTTGGCCATGAGAGACACCGGTATGCGTGGCTGTTTTTCTCGCCTACGTCGCGGTGTTACACAAAAGAACATTTTACCTGCGGCTACGTCAGCGGTCGCACGCTCTGATGCTTTTTGGGCTGCCTTTGGGTCGCATCTCTTGGCTTGCTAATAGTTGTACATGGCTATAGTCACAGGATTAGTCATTCATAGCATTGCTAATATTTGTACAACATCAGTCATTTAGATCAAGCATTTCTAGTATTTAATATCTTTCAAGAGCACTCGTTTTTCTAAATATCTATTTCTCCTCTTCCCTCACCGTCATCCTATACACTGAATTGACACAGATCCCATTGCCCAGCGTCTTGATATTTCCAACTTATTGTCAAGAACCACTCAATAGACTCATACCATACACTACACCAAGCTCCTCGCCATCTCAACCCTCGAGAGAATATATTTCCTAGTTAATAATTTTGTACTCAATGAGATATTCCATACAATCTGACATCTCCCCCTTTTTTTTATAAAAAAAGATATACTCCCACCGTCGACCTTACATATTTCCCATCTCAATTTCCATAATTCAAATCAAAGTCTAGTATAATATTACTTTCGCTCCTATAACACGTATATCGTTTATTGTCCCGCTGCCATAGCGTCATTGGGTTAACTGGACTTTGGATGTACGCCCCGTTTATTTCCTTCCTAACATCTTCCATGCATGTGAGTTAATCTAATCGATAAGAGGGCTATAGAGTTGCATTCAGCTTCCTCGGATGGCGATGATGACGTGCGGCTGCAACTGGCGTTCTGAGCATCACCAACGAGCAACATTGCCAGACAAAATCGACAGCACCATCCACCGAGTATGCAGATATCAAAGACTCTACCACGCCCTGCATCACTAGATCGAGTAG